TGCGTCATGTTTGACCCTGAGCACAGAATTCTATCAGTCTGGTCTGCCCAATTATTCAGGGAGGAGCCAGGTACCTGTAGAGAGCTAAGTGGAGACATGGTAAGGATATGGTAATTTCTCATCCTTGTAACCCATTATTGATTAAAGTCACAGGAGTGATAGCTAAAGTCAAGCTAATCTTGAGGCTTGGGAAATGAGCACCCTACAATGAAGTCTTCCTACAAACCTGTGAATGAGTTTTTGGGTTATATATGACTACTTTGCAATTGGTGTGGTGACTCACTAGGCTGAGGTCTTGAGAGATGCAATACTAGGGCATGAAGGTTTGAGGAAGGTGATTTGTTGGATTAATATGATCTGATCATATTAATATATGGGATCTTAGTTCAATTCTTAGACCAGACTATGTGACTCATCTCCAGAAAGGAGAATGGTAGGTGAGCAGCAGGAAAAGCAAGTGAGGCAGCAACTTAGCCTATTTTGTGGATGCTGGTCAACTCATTTCCACCATCCTTGATCTGATTTCATTTTGGCAAGAGTTGGTATGTGGTAGCAGAGCTATATAACCACTGTTAGACTTTGTTATTAGAGATGGATTGTAGGTAAATGAGAGACCTTTTTGTAGAAGTTACAATGAAAAAATGCCATCAAGAAAACAAAACAAAATCCCTAAACTTGAGAAATGTCCCATAAAAGAACAGAGTGATTAATCTCCTCATCACAGTATGATGTATATCCACTGGGTGAGACAGCTTCAGTGGTAAATCATGAGAAGACAAGAGAAAACAGGGAATGTAGGTTGTGTTGGTGATTTTTGATTTTTGCTTGTTAGTCACACTTACCCATTTAAGTATGCTATTGGGATCAATCTGGGAATACAGAATTAAAGAGGGAAAGACGTCTCAGTTTTCATTTGCTATACTTTCTTGAATACCTATGTAGAAGCATCATATTAAGTACTTTACATAGCTTCTCATTTTAATTTGAAAACACCTCTTTGATCTAGGGACTATAATCTCCATGTTACTAATGAGCAAATAAAAGGTTGGAAAATTTACATAATTTGACCAAAACAAAATTGCTAGCAAATGACAGAGTAGAGTTTTCAATCTAGGGAGTATGACTCTAGTAGCAATACTTTAACTACTTTGTTTTTCTGCCTCTTGCTGATTCAACAGAGTATTTTGAGTGAAGTAGAGTGGAATAGAAGAATTCTGTATTCTAACAGAAACTTTGAGAATAAAGGAAGATATTTCTACAAGAAGAGTCACCAGCATCTCCTAGTACTGAGTAATACTACTAAATGAAGAAGGATCCAGGTGCAGAATGTTCTCAGAAATGTGTGGGTTTGTACATAAGCCCAGTTACTACATGCAATCATGGAAACCAAGCATCTTAATGAGAAAAGAATTTAAGGCAGGAATGGAATTGTAATTATAGCTGACCACTTATTTAAGGTTTACTCTAAAAGGTTGTTTAATTACACATTATATGATGGAGTAACACCTGAATGAGGCAGATATAGGGAAAAAGGCAGCAGTGAACAGACATTTTCTAGTGTTGAAGCTCAGCTCCTAGCTCTGCAGAGTAGCAGCTATCCTTGTCATCAAAACTGGCCATTTAAACCCTATCATTTTTTTGATTAATATTTTCTTGATTAATCATCTTAGTTTTATTCCTGATAAGTCGTAGCTGGAAAGGGCTGATTTTTTTTTGATTTTTGATTTAGCATACATTAACAATACGAGGCAGTTTCACTGTGCTAATTCTATAAATATGTAGAGTGTACTTTCCATTGTATTTCCATTCCCCCTTTTCTGCTCCCCTTTTTTTAGTGTTTGGTGGGTTTCATTATATTGTTTTCATCTCTCTTTCTTTCTCTCTTGCTATTTAGTTTTATTGAGCTCTTTGTATATTTTGGATATTAACCTATTGAATAACTGACTAAGACTTCTTCCATTTCTGTGGGTTATTCTTGATTCTGGTAATTTTTTTTTTGATGTGCAGAAACCTTTTTCATTTGATACACTCTTATTTATCAATTCTTGCTCTTATTTCCTGGGAAATTGGAGTCCTATTCAGAAAATAGTTATGTATGCATAAATCTTCCAGAATTTACTGTGTTTCAGGGTTTAGGTCTTACATTAAGATCTTTGATCCAATTTGGGTTATTTTTATGCAGGGTGAGAGATAGAGGAGTCTAGTTTCAGTTTTCTGCATGTAGACAACCAGTTTTCCCAGCACCATTTGTTTAAGAGGCTGCCTTTTCTCTAGTGTATGTTTTTGACTTGTCAAAGATCAGATGGCTCTAGCTTTTTCATGTTTGTTTTTGTGTCAGTACCATGCTGTTTTTGTTACTATGGTTCTGTAGTATTATTTGGAGTCTGGTATCATGATGTCTCTAGAATATCATTTTGTTCAGTATTATTTTTGCTATTTAGTCAGGGTCTTTTGTATCTCCATATGAATTCTGGATTTTCTGTGAAGAATGACGCTGGGATTTTGATGGGCATTGCACAGAATCTGTAGATTGCTTTAAGTACTATAGCCATTTTTGCAATAGTAATTCTGCCAATCCATAAACAATGGGAGGTCTTTCCATCTTTTGGTGTCTTCTTCACTTTATTTCTTCAAGGTTTCACAGTTTTCACTATAGAGGTCATTCAGCACTTTAAGTTTATACTTAGGTATTTTTTTGATGTTACTGTGAATGGAATATTTTTCTTAATTTCTTTCTCAGTCTGCTCACTGTTGGTATATCAAAAAGGTACCAATTTTTATATGTTGACATTTTATCTAGCAGTATTGACAAAAGTATCAGATACAGGAATTTTCAGTGGAATCTTTAGGGTCCTTTAAGTATAGAATCATGTCATCTCCAAATAGGGATAATTTGATTATTTTCCTTCCCTATTTAATCCCTTTTATTTCTTTCTCTTGTCTTACTGCTTTAGCTAAGAATGCCAGAATTACATTGAATAAGAGTGGGAAGAGTAAACACCTTTGTATTGTTTGTGACTTTAGTGAGAATGATTTCATTTTTTCCTAATTTAGTATAATGTTGGCTGTTGTTCTGTATTATGTACCCTTTATTATGTTGAGGTACAATCCTTCCATTCCTGGTTTCTGCAGAAATTTTGTCATAAAAGGACACTGAATTTTGTAGAAGGCATTTTTGCATATTGAGATGATCATGAAATTTTATCCTTGATTCTGTTTATGTGATGTATCACATTTATTGATATATATATCTGTTCATTCCCTGGAATGAAACCAACTTGATCACAGTGTATGATCTTTTGGGTGTGTTTTGAATTTGTTGAGAAATTTTGCATCTACATTTATTAAAGGGATTGATCCATATTTCCTTTTTTTTGTGTGTGTATGTGTGTGTGTGTGTGTGCCCTCATCTGGTTTTGGAATGAGTGCAATACCGACTTCATAGAATGAGTTTGATAGTGGCCTTTCTCTTTCTATTTTATGGAAAAGTTTGAGGAGTATTGGTGTTAGCTCTTTTTTAAATGTTTGGTAAAATTTGGCAGTGAATCCATAGGATCTTATGCTTTCCTTTGTTGGGAGACTATTACTGGTTCAATTTCATTGCTTGTTATAGGTCTATTTAAGTGAATTATATAATTTTGGTTCAATTTTGGTAGATCAAATGCATCTATAAATTTATCCATTTCTTAAAGATTTTCTAGTTTATCTGAATATAGGTTTTCAAAGCATTCCCTCATGTTCCTCTGGATTTCATCATTATTTGCTGTGATATCATTTTTTTATCTCTAATTTTATTAATTTGTGTCTTTTCCCTCTTCCTTTTGGTCAAATTGGCTAAGGGTTTATCAATCTTATTTATCTTTTCAGTCAACATTTGTTTTCATTGATTCTTTGTACAGTTTGTTTTAAAGATGTGTTTTTGTTTGTCAATTTATCAGATACTTTCTATGTGACAATCTATCTCACTTAAATTACATTGACTGTCTTGGATGGCTGTTTGTTCTATATTGCAATTCAAGAAATACAGTCAGGCTATAAATACAACCATGATAATAATTGTTCATTAAAAATTTTTTACTTTCCAAAGGCTAAATCTTCCTTGTTTTACTGAATGTCTTCATAGTTTAACATTTAATAGTTGCCTACAATGAGGAATCAAAAAACTTACACTGGGATTCAAAATTTTATATATAATCATTTATTCATTTAATCTAAATCAGTAGGGAAACCTGGCTGAACATTAAAGAAGGTAACAACAATGAATATTTCTGGGCAGTTTATCATCTCCTATATAATGAGATAATGTTTCTTAATGACATTATTATTAAACTCATAAACAAATTTTGTACCATAAAGGTGTTTCATTCTTGTTTTTTCTAGGCACTATACAAAAGATACATCACGGACATGTTTGATCTCAACAAATTCACTGTTTAACCAACAATTATTAACTTATAGTAGCTAAACATAGCAATAAAAGACAATTGTTTCCTATGCTTTGTAATTGTTTTGATGGATACTGTTTAGTATAATGAAGACACAAATTTTCTTTTAATAGACTTGTGCTCCATTACTAAGGATTACATACTTGGCATAAGGCCTTAAGCAAAGGCACCCACTTGAGTGCATACAATAAAGTCAACGGTAGAGAATTGGAATTGTCAACATAGGTCCGACCTAGGTCAGCACAGGAGATTTCATGAAACTTAGAAGAGATATATCTAACTTCACCTGAGTACAGAATGGAGGAGAGAGAAGAAAATTTTCAAAAGAGGACACTCAAGAACTGATCATTGAACTATGAGAGGTGATAAGTCTGGAGAAGGATGGAAGAAGGAGCAGGAAAGCCTAATTAGATGATTTTTTTCAGACTTGAGAATACCAACAACATGAGCATACCTCCAGAATTTATTAACACAACAGCTGGGAACACACCTAATTTGATTACATAATTTTCTTTCATCACTTTATACATTAAGAAGAAATCATTTTCACCAGTGATGCTAGGGCTGACGTATAATACCACAGTGGAACCCCCTGCCACTTTCTTGCTTGTGGGCATTCCAGGTTTGCAGTCTTCATATCTTTGGCTGGCTATCTCCCTGAGTGCCATGTACATGATATCATTGTTGGGAAACAGCCTTATCATGACTGTAATCTGCATGGATTCTACTCTCCAAGAGCCCATGTATTGCTTCCTGTGTGTTTTGGCTGCTGTGGACATTATTATGGCCTCCTCTGTGGTACCCAAGATGGTGAGCATCTTCTGCTCAGGAGACAGCTCCATCAGCTTTAATGCATGCTTTACTCAGATGTATTTTGTCCATGCAACAACAGCTGTGGAGACAGGGATGCTGCTGGCTATGGCTTTTGACCGCTATGTGGCCATCTGCAAGCCCCTACACTATAACAGAATTCTCACACCTCGAGTTATGTTGGGAATGTGTGTGACCATTGTATTCAGAGCTGTCATATCCATGATTCCATTGAGCTTCATGGTTATTCATCTGTCTTTCTGTGGCTCGAATGTGGTTCCCCATTCCTACTGTGAACACATGGCTGTGGCTAACTTAGCATGTTCTGACCCCATGCCCAGCAATCTCTACAGTTTAATTTCTTCCTCCATTATTGTGGGTTCTGATGTGTCTTTCATTGCTGCTTCCTATATCTTAATTCTCAGGTCAGTATTTGGTCTCTCCTCAAAGAACGCTCAGTGGAAGGCACTAAGTACCTGTGGCTCACATGTAGGGGTCATGGCCCTATATTATCTACCTGGAATTGTGTCTGTGTATGTAGCCTGGTTAGGGCAGGACACAGTGTCCTTACATACCCAGGTTCTTTTAGCTGACTTATACCTGATCATTCCACCCACCTTAAACCCCATCATTTATGGTTTTAGGACCAAACAAATTTGGGAAAGAATATGGAGTTTATTAATGCACTGCTTCTTTAATCACTCAAATCAAGGCTCATAAATCCAAACCTTTCAGCTCTTCAATTCTTCAGTCAAGTACAAATATGCTGTATAGATCTATGGTGCTGGGTTGGCTTACCTGACATAGAAAATTGGTATCTATGAAGATATTCTTGAGTTACATTTCATTTTCTTGCAGGAATATGAATGTGATGATTCTGATTTTAAGAAAACATTTTAATGGTTTAATTCAACTGACTCAATAATAAGGAAGTTTGGCACTGAATAAAGATTTGAGATTTTTCTTATCTTCTGATGATGCATATTTCCAATGCCAATATCCTCAGGCCCTTTGCTCTAGACATAGACCCTTTGGTGTCTTGGTAAGCCCCTCACCTCATACTCACTTGCCTAATTTTCTCAGGATTTCTCCTCCCCTCATGTGGTTATATGGGAGAAGCAATTCATGTATGACCTGACTGTATGTATGGCCATTGATGAATTCATTTCATTTTGGTCAGGTGTTCATACCTAGAGTTTTCTCCAGCCAAAACTAATTCCAGTTTATCTGAGGAGATACAAACTTGAGATCAGTGATGATGCCCATTCTCCAATACATGAACTTGCAAAAAGAGAAACCTGAACAACACCCAGAAATGCCAATTAGGTGCTTTGACAAGAATGTTTCTTTGGTTCTCTAGTTCCAACTCATTTTGGACACCAATGTGTGTTCTTATTATTACATTCTACAATTTATCAGCTATTGTTAAGTTAGTTATAGTACTAATTATTCACGTATTGTTTTTAAAAAACAGAAGATTTTTAAGTTTTAGTTTTAGTTTTTTGGACATCCTTCTTTTTATTTTCTGCTCTCTGCAGCTCAACTTTAAGAGTCAGAAGACAGTGACCAACAATAACACAAGACCTTTCCTTTGAACACCACCCAAGAATGTTCTGGAATGAAAAAGGTTAATCAACAATAGTGTAGATAAAGAAATTGAAATGTGACCACTGTTTTTTCAGATGCTTTGCTCAACAAGTGCTTTTCATTTTTTTACTTTCAGATAGTCTTAAATTGAGTAATCAGTGTAAGTTTTTATAAAAAATTTAAATTTGTGTCTGGAAATGTAATAAACTTGTACATGTTGTGTTAACTTTCTTATTTCTTAAAATAAGGCAGTAAATGTTGTATACTTGATTTCCAATCTGGAAGTGATAGAATTTGAACATGGAGCTATCACATGATCTGGTTAAAAGACAGTAAATTGTCTTGCTTTTTAAAAATGCTCTTTTTTTAAATGACCCATTGTTAGGCTTTACTTTCCAAAATTCTTAGAGAGGATATGTTAATCCATTTTGTTTGTGAAACAGGGAATAAATAAAATATTTTGTCTGGAAATCAATTCTTTGCCTACCTTCCTGTCCTGGATACCACTGGAAATCATTAGAAATCCTGGAGAAAGGAGTCAAGATGTCTTAATAGAGCCTTTGCATGACTGCTAGAGAGAAGAGTCAGGGGAAGCAAAAGAGAAACTATATTGTGAGTTTTGAGAGGTGGGGGAGGACTCTCCTGGCCAAGCTCCCATACCTAAATGGATGCAGCAACCAGAGACCCCTACCATCACCTGCACATGATTGGTGAGATCTATAGAAGGTGTAACCAGCCCACAACCTTGGGACAGTGGTTGCTGCTGTAAAAAGCCTCATCATATGCCAGGTGCCAGTGGCTCATGCCTAGCTACTTGGGAAGCTGAGAGTAGGAGGACCATGCTTCAAGGCCAGCCTGGGCAAGTAGTTCAAGAGACCCCATATCCAAAATAATCAGAGCAAGATGGACTGGAGGTGTGGCTCATAGGGTAAAGTGTCTGCCTGTAAGTGTAAAGCCCTGAGTTCAAACCCCAATCCCACAAAGAAAAGCCTCATCATCACTCAACTTTGACCCCCCATCATGTTCTTTAGCCTCAGGACTCCATAAGATTGAGAAGAATGAATGTAATGTCAGATGCACAGATGTCAACGTAAGTACACATGAAACATGAAAGGAACATGACACCTCCAAAGGAGAACGATAATTACTCAGAAATAGATCTTAATTTGAAAGAAATCTATGAAAGTCTGGAAAAATATTTTAAAATAATGAACCTAAAGAAACCCAATGAGGGCTGGCAGAGTGGCTCAAACATTAGAGTGCTTACCTAGCAAGTGTGAGACCCTGAGTTCAAACCCAGTAGCACCACCAAAAAAGAAAAATAAAAAAAAACCTCAGTGAGATGCAAGAGAATGTAGAGAGACAACACAAATAAATGAGAAAGCTAATTCAGGATATTGATAAATTCACCAAAGAAATAAAAATAGCAGAAAAGAAAAATCAGGAACCACGAAACTAAAAACCTCAATCAATGAAATGAAAAAAATAGAATAGAGAGATTCTGCAACAGATTTGATCAAGCATTTTGGTACTTGAAGACCAGTCTAATAAATTAACATAGTCAAACAAACAAAAAAGAAAAACAAATTAAAAGACTGAAGAAAGCTATCTATGAGGCTTATAGGATACAGTCAAGCAACCAAATACATATATATAGTGGGAATTCCAGAAGGTGAAGAAAAGAGGTACTGAAAACCAATCTCATAAAATAATGAATACATGGAACAAAAATCATATAATTAACAAAATGACAGGAAGAAGTTCATATTTATAAGTAATAACACAATGTAAATGGGTTGAACTTACCAATTGAAAAACAAAATGGCTGAATGCATACAAAAATAAGACCCAAAGGATAAAAAAAAAAAGAAAAAACCTTAGCTAGACTTACCAAGAAAAAAGTGTTTTAAATAAAATCAAAGATGAAAAGGGAAACACTACAACCGATGCTACAAAATGCAAAAGATCATAAGAAACCAGTATGAGCAATTATATGCTAGAAAACTGGAAAACTTGGAAGAAATGGACACATTCTCTAAAACATACAATTACTAAAATTGAATGAAGAAGGAATAGAAAATCTACACAAACAATGAACAGTAAGTATGAAATAACAATTCTAATAAGTCCAGGAAATGATGGGTTTACAGCTAAATTCTACAAAACCAACTCTTCTTAAACTGATCCAAAAATTCAAAATGTAAGAACTTTGCCAAATTCTATTTATAAGGTTGCCATTACTCTTGCACTACAACCAAACAACAACAAAACAATAACAAAAAAAGAAAGAGAAAAAGAGAAAGAAAAAGAAAAGTACAGGCCATATCTGTGATGAATATATATTAAAAAAATTCCCAGTAATGGACTGGTGGAGTGGCTCAAGTGGTAGAGCACCTGCCTAGTGAGCATGAAGCACTGAGTTCAAATCCAGTACCACCACTTTTCTTTAATTACCAATAAATTACTAGGAAACAGAATTGAACAGCACATCAAAAATATCATACCTTATGTTCAGATGGGGTTCATCTTAGGGATGACAGGATTGTTCAACATATGCAAATCAATAAATGTGATACAATGCATTAACAGAGTGAAGGACAAAAATCTTCATTTCAATTGAGGAAGAAAAAGCACTTGGTAAAATTTTACATCACTTCACGAAAAATTTCTCAACAAATTAAGTATAGAAGGAAGATAGTGGAAATTAATAAAGAGCATATATCAAAACCCTTAACCAATATCATACTGAATGGAGCATTTCCTCTAAGATCCAGAACAAGGAAAGGATGTCCACTTTTGCTAATACAGTACTGGAAATCTTAACAAGAGAAATGTATTAAGCAAGAGAAAGAAATAAAGGGTGTCCAGTTTGGGAAGGTTGAATTTAAATTACTCATATTTGCAGATGAAATGATTCTATACATAGATCAACTTAAATACTCCATCAAAATTATTAGAAATTACAAATATACTATGTAAAGCAGCAGAACACAAAATCAACATACAAAAACATAGCATTTCTATATATAAACAATGAAATTGATGGAAAAGGCAAAAGTCACATATTTTCCTTCATATGCAGAATGTACACCTAAAAGTAACGTGATATGAATATAGAAGGGGATAGGTGAGGAGACATACAGTGGGAGGGGATGGGGAATGGATAGGGTGAAGGGACTAAATATTACTGAAGTATGTTATATAAATGTATGAAAATAGCATAATAAAACCCACTAAAAACCTTAAAGTAAAGGAACAATGGGGAAGAGAGGATGAGAAAGAGTAATAGGGGGATAGTTTTGATTGAAATACATAATATATATGTATGAAAATATCACAATGAACCCCCTTTTGACAATTAATTTACACTAATGGAGAAAAGGAAAGCAATTCATTCACAATAGCTACAAAACTTATTAAGGAATAAGCTTAATTAAGGAAATGAAAATTCTCTACAATGAAATCTGTAAAGCACCAATAGAAGAAATCATAGAGGATACAGAAAATTATGAAAGGATATCCAATGTTCATAAGTATAGTTTTAATGACCATAATACACAAAGAAATATGTAGATTCAATGAAAAGTTCTATCAAAATTACAATGACTTTCTTCACAGAGATAGAAAGCACAATTCTAAAATTCACATGGAGCTATGAAAGACCCAGCATATCCAAAGTGTTCCTCAGCAAAAAAACAAAACAAACAACAAACAAAAAAACCCACAAATAAGCCTAAGCCAAAACAAAAAACAAAGGAAAACAAAAATGCAATCTCCCCCAACCCAAAACCCAATAAACAAAACAACAAACAATAGAACAAGGCTAAAGGCATCACAATACCTGAGTCAAAGCAAACAAGACAGCAATAGTTACTAAAACAGCATGATACTGGTATAAAAACAGACTCAGAGAACAATGGAAGAGAATAGAGAACCAAGAAACTATTCCACACTCACACCAGCCTACCGATTTTTATTTTTGACAAAGTTAGCAAAAATATGCAGTGAGAAAAAAGACAGTCTCTTCAAAAAATGGTTTGGACTGAATTGGACATATATAGAAGAATGAAACTAGATTTCTTTGTTTCATCATATACAAAATCAATTCAAAGAACTGCTCTTATACTCAAAAC